GCGATGGCTGCCGAAAATCGAACAAAAAACGATGAAGATACAAATCGGGAACAAAGCCGCTACCGTTTCTGAACGGAGGAGGCAAACAACAGACACCGCAATGATAGTGGGAACGATATCGACGATGGGAACTGGCGGTCGGAAACTGGAACATGAATTAGTTGATGAGGCCGCAAGGTACTAACTGGAGTCTGTTCAACGAAAGGCAGGACTCTGGAATTCTGAACCAATGCAGGTGGAAGCTATTCTACTCAGGTATTGACACCTCAACATGCTCTCAGGCCAGTGTTGGTGTTCTGGCAAAACCCAGCCTGGTTGATAGAATCAATGAATGGAAGCCTGTCAGCGGAAGAGTGGCAATCTTCCCACTTAAGTTACAACAGACAAAAACATTCGCCTTGTTACAAGTATCGAAGGATTCTGCTACAACTCAGGCAAACTTCCGGCAAACCTCAAACGATGGCATAGCATCGGGAACGTTGGAGTCACCTTGTGACGCATCTGCTTCCGTGACCCGAAAGGACATACGTTCATCGAAAATGAGTGATTGACTGACTGCTCAAGACAGTGCCTCGCTCCCACTGAACATTCTCTCGACAACATGTCATTAAATCCAATGAGCAGAGTACTTTGCCAGTACGGGATTTGGCATTAGAAAGGCAAAGCAAATTTATTTAAATATTAAATTTTTTTCGTTAAGTCTCATTTTTTATTGCCGATAGTTTACACTGACAACTTTACACTGAAAGTCACAGAAAGCAGCCACTAAAAAAACTGTTAATAAAAAAAGTTTTTTTTTTACAGTTTAGGGGCCACTTGCGACGCCTTATTTTCATTAACATGCTGTGGCGCTTATCTCCGTTTTAATGCCATAAGCCAGAAGTGCATGTCATATTCACTCTGCAAATGCGTGGCAAACATAACATGTAGTTTCCTGCTTTCTTCACATAGTGGTCTTGGTCTCATTTATCAATTTCGGAGGGGAAAACAAGTGACCCAATCCGGGGCGTGAGCAAGTAGAATCTCGGTGTTAAATACAATGCCCTACCGACTGAGCAATGCCTGTTCTAACAATTACAGTAACAATATAAAATTCTCCGGCGTTGAAACTTTGGTTCCTGTTCACCCTATTGAGTAATATTTGCCGCCCTAATTTTCCAAATGAGGTTAATGGTGTAACACTGACTGACATTAAGGCATTATCAGATGCGGATATCTGAGTTCGACGGCAAAATCTTATTACAGAGCGTAATCGCTTCATAACTTGGAAAGATAAGCGCGTGACTTGGTTGGGATTCTAACGGATGCGCTGCCTACTGGGCTATCCTATGCATGAAATTCATGCTTAAGATATGTACATAATATGCAGAAAAAGTGTTACGCAAGTAAACGCTTTCTTGACAGGCTCAAAATACTATCTCAAGCTGTGTGAAATAAATCATAATTTGCTGCAGTACTACTTTCGATGTAATGCCGATAACTTCCTTCTAACTGAACACATTTTACAAAATAGTCTTATAAGTCTAAATGGAGAACGATGATAGTCAGAATACTTACCGTTTCGTTCTCGTAGTTGAAGCCCATATTCCGCAACAATGCTTCGAGATCTTTCAGAGGTTGTCTAAAATGAACGACAGACATGCAAGAACAAAAAGACAAACGAACGTACGGAATAATCTCTTGGGAGGAAGTCACTTTCTCACCGTTTCGCACCTGAGAATTCAGCGACAGATCGAAACTAAAGCCTACTGTTTTCAGAAACTTCTCCGACATGTATTCCACATCAGGAACAGCCAAATCCATACTTAGAAGCATATCATTAACGTGATACTCTTTCCCGTCGATTGTAAACGTAAGAATAACGGAAAGAACGTCATTCTAAAACGAAACAAAACTGTGAAATCAGAACTTTTGAAATCAGCACTACAAAAAGATGCTTTAATAATTTATCTTTCTAAATTTACATATGAACCTTCCGATATTTAATTAGCTATCATGCGGGCCAAGGCGAAATGTAGCCGGAAGATACATGCATTAGATAGCGTGACCATACCTTTAGTCCGCTTTGGCGCGGCCACACCAAAGCACCATGCTAACAATATTATTCGCAGACTAACAAACTGCTATCCGTTTACCAGTTGATTGCATCGATGCACAGTGGAGTGAATGACTTGCTCAAGGGAATTATCAGTTAATAGGAAAATATTTACGCTGCAAAAGAGATTAGAATCCAGCTCCTGCAAAGCGCAAAGCAAACTACCAACCCACCGCGCCACTGATTCTTCATACCTCGATACTACAAAAACGGAATTGCATCTTCATGTTTAGCATTAGCAAAAAAATTTCTATTGCAAGCCTTAACATGAAAAACGAAACGTCAGTTTGAAACCTAACTGTCATAGTGAAAAAATCGCAACAACCCGTTTTTTGGATGATAAAACGAAACATGTCAAATATTTCTGTTCATGTTTCAAGTCGAAATATCGTTCTGGTAGAAATATTTACCCTACATATATAATGCGTATAAAGATGTCAGCTGTTGGTTATTGTCTCGTACCCGATCGCCCTGAGGTTCACCTTCGAGGGCTCTTCCTTTCCAGTAAACGAGTCGTACTTCATGTTTCACAAACGGTATGTAACTTGTACCCCCAACACTGTCTGCTCACAGAAATGTGGATGTCGATACGGTATTTCAGCAGACATTCCATATTCTCCAGATTGAAGAATGTCTAGCCTCTTCATCGTATATGCATAGATTTCAACTCACATTTTAGATTACATCTATTCATTGATTTAACAGTTTTATTCTAGGAAAACTGCTGGTACAGGGAAAATCTGTATACTGATAATGAAATTATCATTACTATAAAAATTAACCCCGACCAAAGATTTCACTAAAAAATTGTTAGTTTTCGATACCGCCAGCAAGAAAAATGATCCGTCACTTCTGACATATTTGTACCGTACACCTGCTCCTGGTTACTCAGGGGACGCCACTGCAAACAATTGCTCCACTTTGCTGCGTCGAACAAAATAATCTGATCTGACACCATCGGATGTGCCTCGATCTGTAGGCACATATGCGATGGAGTTAGGATTGCTTAAACGGTAACCTCCGAGTGAACGTCATAAAAACTGAAATTTAAATTAATTTCAAGAAAAAAGAGGAACAGCATCGTTTAACAAGTAATTTGCTATTTAACCATGCAAAACATTATCGATTACCTTGTAGATCAGTTACACTGTAACTACACAAGAATATCAGAACTTACATAAACGAAAACTAAACAGTGGCTTTTATTAAAACTTTAATTAATCGATGTACACAATGATAATAAAGGTAGAAGCAGATCTGATTTGGAGAGTAACTGTTCTCTCCACGATGCAGTAACAGATGTTAGGGCAAAATGCTATAAAGCTGAGAAAGCAGCAGAAGTAAAAACGACAGGTTCTACCAACGAAAACGGGTCAAGGTGATGATCACAAAAAATACGGCTGGAAGGTCAAAAGAAGTCAGGCAGTCCGCCTGCATTTTCGATGTATACGTTACTTATGAAACTGACGCAAGGAAATGGCTGATTCATCATCAGAGCAAAAGTAACTTTCATAAATTAAAAAAAAACAAGTACAGATTTACACGAATGGTTGGATGGAAAATGCATAATCATGGGATTGGTGCATAAGTAAAATGTGTACAAAGAAGGAGCCTTCTTTAATCGTTTATCTGTCTTCCGTATGGGTGGCCACGAACGCAAGTCGACGTACCTGCACTGTGTGTATGCTGCTTTCAATCTTCCCAACTGATTAAGTAATTTGACCAGCAGCACCGATCGTGATGTACAGCTTAGCGAATGGTAGGTATTGTTCTGACTGACGCGATGGCCTGCACCAATGTTTCTAGTTATATTTCTCTGAGCTGTTTCCAAAAAGTAGTTGTTCAGCGGTCCATTCAGAGTGCCAACCTTCAAAACTGTTTCTAATATCTCCTCAAACTTCATCCATTCCAACGGATCAAGAGAAATGATGTAGTCGCTTATGCTTTGGTCACTTACAGATACAGATACAAGATATCACAGCCTTAGTACACCGGAGTGGGCTCGTGCACCACTTTATATAAAGAAGAGAACCAGGACTAATTACGATTACAAGGGAATTCCTGCTAAAATTAGAACAGAGTGTATTCTAGCATTCCGAAAAAGCCACAGAATACAGTAGCGAAGCTAATCGAAGTAGAATAAATTATAAAGAGGCATTCTGTTCATTAATTAAGATTCTCAAACATGAATATTATTAAAGAATTGCTAAAAACTACCTGATTAATATCCATTACTTCTGCCCATACGGGTTGTCTGAAGGCATTTTCAAGTACCTCTCGCGCTCTGTTGGACCAACCCTA